AAAAAAAAAAAGAATAATCAGTTTAACCACTCATGTGCCGTTGTGATCAATTCGTCAGAAAATACTGAGAGCATGCTTTCGAGGGTTAAACCTTATGAAGTACACATGCTAATATTTTACAACGATTGCCCATCGATTGATTTTTTTATATTTAGATATTTCATTCATTTTGGTTATTTTCAAAAATCGTTCTTTCAGCTAATAAGCTACAAACACGAAATATACTGCAGCATGAGAAGGAAATGTATTTGACCCACACTAGAGTCATACAATTAAGAGCTTCTTAACGTTTTTTTAATCATAGTGGCTGCTGCAATCATTTACACAATGCTCTTAAAACACCTTAAACCATTGTTATTGTATCTTAAATTAATAAAGCAGTTTTGTGAGTCTACTACTGGAAGCCCAGTGAGATGGAAAATATCTATAATGTACGTATATGACCTTTTATTATCATGGCACGGTTAACCATATAAACCAGGCATGGTTTGTCAATGTATTTTCATTAAATACAATACACGCACCTGAAAACACAAAATAGAAAATATGAGAGAGATTTAAAAATGTCACAACCATTTTTGAGCAATTAAGATAACATACTATGAGATTATATCAAAGGGTAGTTTTTGTTTCTAGTGGCCTGCGGCATACTTGTATTCACACCAAAACACTTCCTTACAAAAAAATAATATTGGCCGTTGCTCTCACCTAAATATATACCACGATTCGAGATGTCTCAAGGATTTTTTGTACAGCCGAAGGACTTTTTGTTGGTGGGTAAGATAGGCGGATGCCATCTTTCCTGCGGTCCTCCCAACTCCCTCGACCGGATTCACCTTCACCAAGAGCACTGCTTTGTGGGATACCGGAGGAATTATGGCCAATCAGGAAATGTCAGATTTGAACTTCATAAATAGCCCATAGGAGCAATTCGTACAGTGCTATTACTCTATCGATACGACACCTAAATCGATCTCAGGACCCAAAACCTATGAAGTGGAAGGGTTGACTGCCTCTTAAGTTTAATTTACAATATTAGAAAAAATAAGTTAAACGAATATAAATGCACATTTATTGCAGTATGTACGGTTCCGTTGCGACTGCGGAATTATGGGAATTTTGAAGTCTGCATGTGGGTTTTGTATTGCCGGCTGTAAAAGGGCAAGTATGGCACAGTTTAAATTTATAGGTAAGAATATTATACAAGGGTCTTAAAATAAAAAATAAAGATCGATAATCATATGTTATAGTACATAGGTATACATTTAAATAAAGTTTTATTTCTATTTTTAACGTTCTGTATTGATTACATTTCATTACTAGCATCGTTATTTGCATGTGCATCTTTTTTCAGAACCATATCAGATCTTGTTTAAGCCCGTGTTTACTACAGAATTATTGAAAATCCACTTAGGTGTTTTACAATGCTTTTCAGATATCGGAATCAACCTGACCGATTCTATGTTTCGAGGAATATACAGGGGAAACCAAAAACATCAAGGTTGGTATCGCGTCCATAATACAGTAGGATTCTGACAACTTATTCGTGCTATTCACAATTTTAAACAAGCGCTGTTACTAAGGTTTATAAATATTTCAGGAAAATAATTAATTGGTTATCTGACCAAAATTAGACAGACGTTTCCCTGCAGTGACTGAAGGAAAAATCCTAAATGTCTTATCAGAATAAAAAAGTTGATTGCACAGCACACTTACACATAGACCTTTTTCTGCAACATGTTTTTCCAAATCCTAAGAAGGAATGAAAGCTCAGAGGAACTGATTAGTAATATAGTTTGGGGGTTATAATATATTGTTGTTTTTTTTTACATACACATGAAACTGAAAGATCAGGTAGAAGCAATACAGCTAAGTGCTGTGATAAATTTATTTTTTGCAACACAGAGCAGAATTCACCACTCACATGTTGATTGTCTTCCTAATAAAACTGTCTAGGAGGGCTGTATTTTTGGCTCTGTCACATTTTTAAAACATTTCATTACCTGTGAAAAAGTGCTATATCAGTGTAAGGGATAATAATAATTTTATTGAAATACATTAGATCACAATACTCAGTTTTTCAAAACTGGCATTTTTGTACTTCAGATGACTTTCCACAGGTGATAGAGAGAGCCGTTAAAATAGGAATCCAGAAGGTAAGCCATTCAGTTTGTGTGTTGCATGTTTCTGAGGGTTGATGATGATTTTTTTTTTGAGAGCCCCGGGATTACTTTAAACATATTTTGTTTGAATTTCTAGTTTATGATAACAGGAGGCAGTCTTCAGGACAGTAAAGATGCTTTAAAACTGGCACAAACACGAGGTAATTGGTTCCCATATCATTGATTTTTTTTTTTGTCAGAAACTTGATGGTTTGTTGTATGTAGACAATGTTAGAAAAATTTGAGAATTTTTAAAAGAATGGTGACTTAAGTAATTTTTTTTTAAATTAAATACTGGAAAGTTTACAATTACAGCAAAATTACGGAGTCACATGGACATTTTCAAGTGCATCGTGTGTCCTATTTGAACGACTTATGGTTTCTTTGTGAAGATGAATTTTACAGCACAGTTGGCTGCCACCCCACCCGCTGTGGTGAGTTTGAGCAGAATGGAGCTGATCAGTACCTGGCAGACCTGAAAGAATTGGCCAAAGCAAACAAGGACAAGATAGTGGCGATTGGGGAGTGTGGCCTAGGTAGGTCCTATACCTTTTCCAGTCTTTTTTATTTCTTATTGTTCAATGCGTGATTTGCTCTTCTTATAGTTTTATTCTGTGTCCTAAAGCACTCTCCTGTTAAAATAATGAACAAGTCTGTTAAAACTGTAATATTTTCTTGAAACTGAACGAGAGCCACTGATGAGGAAGGTAAGGTGATTTAACACAGACGTTACCAAATGCTTTACGTAGTGGCTTCAATGTACTGTGCCATATTAATTTATTCTCTCTCTAGACCCCATTTAGTCAGGCCAAAAGAAGTCTTACCTGGGGCTGTTTTGCTATAATGGGAAAACAATTAAGTGAATTGTAATACACCGAATTACACAGGAGGTAATATAAAATTAGTGGTAGCTCAGTAGATTATGACACAGAATAGTATAAGAACGTATTAAGGTTTCTTCTTATTGCTGGAAAGTAATTTAATTTTGGTGTTTAAGTATAAGGACACATTGGTGTGCTTGTAAAACTGACTTGTCTCATATAGACTGTGCTTTACACCTCAACTGCACATCACAGTTAAAATTCAAGACCCTTCTTAAAAAAGTAAGGGACCTGTAAATGGATCTGCTATATTCAAAAACATAAGAAAATGAACTTAATGTTGTCTTATACATGTAGTTTAAGTAGGTAGCTGTTCGGCATGTGTAGGCTGCAAAGGAACAAGTAAAGAAGATCAAGTAAACAAGAAGAAAAGAAACACGTTTCGGCTGTGGAGCCTTCCTCGGCACTTTGGGTGACACCTGAAGAAGGCTCCACAGCCGAAACGTTGTGTTTCTTTTCTTCTCATTTCACCCTGGAATAAACCTTTACTAGTTTTTTTTTTGTTTTATACATTATTTCAAAGTTTTTTGTATACAATTCTAATATTTCTTCATTTATTAGAGGTTAAAGGATTTTCAGGCTTGTAAATCTTTGGTTACTTCATCTCCTAATGAAACATGGATCCTGGCATGGTTTTTTGTCCGACATTGCTGGAGTCTCCAGTAAAAACTGTTTCTAGGATCTTTCTATATTTATATAATAAATACAAATAATTTAATTTGTGAATGTACGTTAAAGATAATATTCACAAACTGAAAACTGGTTTCGGTAAAATCTAGCTGACATTATGACCAGAACTCTTTAAAAATACTTCACAATAATTCAGAAATACTAAAATGAATGTGGTTGGCTATATTAATCTCAGAACTTTTTTTGTTAGCAAACTATTAGCTTTCTTCACTAAACCTCAAATGATCTGTTAAGATATCTGAACAAAAGCAAACATTATGTGATTAAACTAAGCTGCTTATCTGTGAAGCAAAAACATTTTACCTCTATAGCTAATATTATACTTGTCTTTTTTTAAAAAACATATTCTTTTTAAAAAGTTCACAATTCAGAAAAGAAGAAAGTGCCCTTAATACACTTTTTTCTGAGAGAAAACAACAACTTGCACATCAAAAGCTGGATTAATATAGTGAATTAAAGACCAGAAAGAAATTTTAAAAAATATATGAATCTGGGGACTCTTTCCTGGCCTTTACTATGATAGCTTGCATATTCCTATCTGCAAGAGGAAGAAACCATCACCCTTTCACTCATTCATCTTACAATAACCAATTAACAGTTTTAAATAGGCAGCAATGTAGTGCTGACTCTTGTCAGCTATAGTAACATTGTGAAGCATTAGAGGAATCTTACTGGTGATGTAAAGGTGTTCTAAATTTGTTTTTTGTTTTGTGTAGTGCACATATAAAGACACTTTACTGGGTTTAATAAAATATTTATCTAATAAGATTATAACTTATTAGATTATAAGTCTTTCTAAATTTTAAAGTCTTTATATAGTATATATTCAGTAAAATGTAATTGTAATTCCAGATTTTGACAGACTGGAGTTTTGTCCCAAAGAAACCCAGCTACTGTAAGTAAATACTCAGTTATATTTCCAACTGCATTTTCATCTTTTCACATTAAAATGGCTAACATTTTGAAGTTTCTTCTTATACAAAACCTTCAGCTTTCATCTGAAGTTCTATTAGTGAAAATATTGTAAATAATGAAAAATGCATCTGTTTTGTAAGATGTTTTTAACTGAGTTAACACTGGATACAAAATGAAAATAATTTACTTAATGTATTGACAATTGTCTGATGACACCATGGTATTTGCACTTAACTGTGAAGAATTACAAATACAAATACAGGCACTGAATAAAGCCACAAGCAAAGTGGGTGTGAAGATGCTCTTTATTTGAAGGTTGAAGACATGTCTCTAAATCTGTGGAAGTCACCATTTTTATCTATCTGGGAGGAAAAAGCAGGTGTCACCTAGTGAAAAACATATGTGTAAAATAAAAACATTACTTAAAAGCTACAAAGAATTCTTAAATGATTTAATATTGTGCTCAATGGTGAACCACCCAATATCTCGAGAGGAAAGTAAGTTGGAATAGTATATAAGAAATTACTGGCAAGGAAGCATTAAAAAGTACTTGCGGGGAGTACCAGAAGAGGGATGCTAAAGAAATGAATGTGCCCAGGAGCAAGTAAGAGTTTGTAACATTATTGGATGAGTGAAGAAACTAAGTGACAAGGGCAGTATATCAGAAAATGACATCAGAAATGTACATCTACTGTACCATTAACTAGAGAAATGTAAAAATAATATGTATTGGTACATGGTATATTACCTTCGTGAACAGCACAGTCTCGGTGTATATAAGAACATGAGAATTTTAAATAACGAGTGATTTAGTGCATTTTTGCTCATTTGGTACAGTGTTCTAAAAATCTCATTTAGCTATTTCTCAATGATTTGGGAATTGCCTGTTCTAATTGCCCATGTGTGTCTGTGTACAGAGCGACCTCCTCTTTTGAGTTCTAAGTACACATGCAGGTATTTTCTACTTCAGTCTTACTAGAATAAGTTTGCTTCTGCGTTCTGGACAATGGTATACAAAGATGCTTTCCCCATATAAAAAAAGTTCCAGATATTGCTTAAAGGAATTATTTTAACTCTAGAAAATAGGAAAATAAATATTTATAATACTATTATTTTTTTCCTTAACTTTTTGAAGGTACTTTGAAAAGCAGTTTGACGTGGCCGAAGAAACAAAACTGCCCATGTTCCTCCATTGCAGAAACTCACATGAAGAATTTTTAGGTACTGTACATTTATGTTTATCTGAATGCAAAGGTATCATGGCTCTGATTGATACATGACACCTGCTTTTCTACACCAACAGACATCATGAAAAGAAACAGAGAGAGATGTGTTGGGGGGGTGGTAAGTATTTGTTTAGCTTATTTTTAATTAAAAAGCTAACAAGATTGCTATGGTTTTACGTGTGCGTTGGGGTGACAAACAGAGGAGTGACAGATGGGGGTTAGAAGTTGTTACACTACAGATACTGTAAGCAGGTGCTCTTTCATTTATATGTATGAATGTTAATACTGTACATCACAAGTAAGTGAAAAGGCACAAATTGTGGATACATCATTTTTGAATAATAATATACCTTAGGACAAAAATAATAATAATTAATTACACTATACACTAAAAGCACTATAGAGTGCTTTTCTGGACACTCCACTCCAGTGCTTTAAAGATAATGAGGACTCCCCTCCACCACCACCAATGTGCAGCATCCACCTGGATGAAGCAACGGTAGCCATAGTGCGCCAGTACACTCCCCAAACACCAGCTATCAGTGGGGAGGAGAACAGAGTGATGAAGCTAAATCTAAATGGGGATTATTAGGAGGCCACGATTGGTAAAGGCAAATGGGAAATTCGGCCAGGATGCCAGGGTAACACCCCTAATTTCTTCAAGAAACACCCTGGGATTTTTAATGACCACAGAGGACAGCAACTATTTTACAGTATAGTGTCACTGTACTGGGGCTTCAGGATGCACACAGACTGCAGGGTGAGCGCCCCCTGCTGGCCCCACTAACAGGAACCTAAGTTTTTCCCAGGAGGTCTCCCATCCAGGTACTGACCAGGTTCACATCCTCTTTGCTTCAGTGGGTTGTCAGTTAAAAAATAATATAAGCTTTTCTCTGGAAACTGGCCATTTCATGCCTTTATGCAAGATTCATGCATATTTTGTAATGACTCACAAAACGATTTTTATTTTGGGTTAGAATATCAGTAGACCTCATGGTACTGTCTTCTGCTACAGGTGCACTCATTTGATGGTACGAAGGAAGAGGCAGCAGCTATTCTTGATCTAGACCTTTATATTGGAATAAATGGCTGGTAGGTTCCAGGATTCAAAATAAAACTATATATATTATAGTAGAAGGCATAGTGGGTCGCAACAGAAGTAGGCTGAAGAAGTTCAAGTATGTAACTGTGTCAGCAGGCATAGGCTGCAAAGGAACAAGTAAAGGTTTATTCAAAGGTTTATTACACCCGAAGACCTGAAAAGAGACCCAACCAGAAGAAGTCTACAGTTGAAACATTGTTTCCTTTCTTCTGTTTTTAGCATGAAATAAATGTTTACTTATTCCTTTGTAGCCTATGCATGCTAACACAGCTACCTACTTTAACTGTATTCTAGTATACTATATATATACTGAACATGTAACGCTATATTGAGTTATATTATGTAAATGAACAAACTAAGATTTTTACTGACTCCACGTTTGTCAAATTCAATACTGACACCAGCGCGCTCACACTTGTTTTAGCTCCTTGAAAACAGAAGAAAATGTTGAGGCCATGAAGTCAATTCCTTCTGAAAGACTGATGATTGAAACTGGTACGTGCAGCTCTTTAGAACTGAAATCAGCTTCAATAATGACAGAGGCAGGTTTATTGAATCCTTTGGTTTAACAGAAAAGTTTTCTGTTGAACTTATTTCACAAATTAAAAAGTGAATCTTTTTTTCATTATTATTATACAATAGATTTTTTTTAAAGTGACATAAGTTAAACAACAGAAAAGTATAACTGGGGACAGAAATTATAAAAAGAATCTAGGCAAAAGGGCAAGATTTTTAAAAGATGCACAATATATTAAATGCTTAAAGTCTGAGATTTTATTTTATATTGACTATCAAAATATTGGTTTAAATCAAACATGCTTAGAATAAGACTCTTTCATGTAGGAAAAAATTGGACAGCCCAGAGAAAAGTGGTGCAGTTGGCTTGAAAGTCATGTGTCTGTAATGGTTACTACTTGTGATTGTGTCTTCTTGTGTAACATAGATGCTCCATGGTGTGGAGTGAAGAACAGTCATGCAGGCTTCAAGTACATAAAAACTACCTTTCCTACTAAGAAGAAATGGGAAGCAGGCCATTGTGTAAAGGACAGAAATGAGCCCTGCCATATAATGTACGTAAGCAAAGGAAATTATTTTTAAAACATAAGCAAATGCAACAGATTGTGCAGGCTTTTAATCAGAACCTGCGAGCATGATTCTGTAGTACCTGTGTCAACATTTACATCCACAAATGTCATCTTAGAGAATAACAGTGTTGTTTTTTTTCTAATGACTTACCTTGGCATTCAGTTTCTGTGACTTCCTCGCTTTAAAGATCATGTATTGAGCTCTAGGAAACAATCATGTGATTACATCATGTTGCTGTATATGTTGCTGCAGTTGTTTGAATTACTGGCCAGTAATTGTTCTTTTCTACCTCCTCACAAGCCTACAATTTCATAATCCAAGCACAGTTTGCCCTCAAAACTCATTTCTTGCAGTTACAGTTGTCAGATGAAGCTCTCACAGACATGCCTTTTCTCGAACCAGTTGGTGTCTGTCTGGCTGCTGCCAGTGTCCTTAGGCATGAACTTTTGAGGAGCCACCCATGCTGTAGTGAATGCAGACTTGCCTCTTCAGAATCTGTGGAGTGGTCTTAGGAATTCAGGAGCTCTCTGGAGTGAGGAAATAACAAAACCAAAAAAATTAAAGGTACACTTTTTAGCAAGAGATGGTTACGTAAAATGATATGGTTTTCTGAACTATTACTTGATCTTTGAACTCCATTCAAAATTTCCTATTAGAAATTTTCAGACCAAAGTGATACTTGGAGCTGTGTGCCTCAATTAAAAGACTTCGCAGTACTATGAGCTCATGTGCATAACTATAATATAACCACCACACCTACAAATAAAAGACTGTAGCGTGTGTGAAACACTGGTGCTTGAGTTTCAAATGAGGTATTTTTTAGGAGCTTTTTAATGAGTTAAAAATTGAAAATATGAAAACATTCATGTCTCCCATTACAGTCAAGTGCTAGAGATCATGGCTGCAGCAAGAGAAGAAGATCCTTTTGAGCTGGCAAACACTATTTTCAACAATACCATAAAGGTCTTCTTCAAAGGAAGCTGAAGGCTTATACCGACTAGAGCTGCTCTCACACCAGACAACGTGGTATGGGCTTCTGTCTTCACTACCACACTGTTCCAGATTTGTTTCGCAGCTTGAAAATCCTGGAATCCACATACAGGAACCATGATGAACATGATTCTTGATTGCTGCTTCTGGGAAACAAATATATATTTTTAAAGAAAATAAAAAATAATTTAAAAGGCATTAAGTTTGTTGTTTGTATGACACCTAATTTGGATTTATCAGATTTATCATTTTTAATGTACTATGTTTAATAGTTTTTAGTAGGGATATGGTCACTTGTATGGTATTATGCATGTTATGTTAATGTTGACTTCCAGTTTATTTGTAATTAATATAAGTCATGTGACTTTTAGATGAGGTTGTAAGATATCTAAATACGTATTAATAGGTTAGTGATATTGGTGTTGCTAAGCTTTACACCATGGTAATAGAAAAGTAACGATATGTCATAGTACTTGAAGAGCTACACACCAACCGCTTTACTCTGACTGAAAGAAATGGCACCCCTCACTGCTGCCATCTTGTGATTTTGTAAAAAAAAAGATCAAATAAATTGTAAATTTATCAAATTAACATTTTATTTTCAACACGAATTAAATATTATTAACTAATCACAAATAGCTACTTGTTTCCTTGGTGCCCTTATCAGTGCGATATGAAAAAGGCTGTCAATGTGATTACAAGGCACAGAAAGTGAAATTTCAAACCCATTGGAACTGGGTTACATCCATTGGGTTACGCACAGGTGATGAGAACCATGAGGTTGAACTGGTATAGAAGACATCCTGAGGAACTTTCCTATTGCCTTATCTGGGAAAGGGGTGGAGATGGAGAAGGTTTTCAAAATATCCCACGTTTTATGTTCATTGGTAAATCTACCTGTATATCAGGTATTAGTACAGAAAAGTTCGGTGCCTGTAAATAATAATATTGTGGTGCCCTCGCCTGGCGTTGCGGTTGAAGAGCGCCTTGCCGAGGTGCGCAGCGAAGGGCAGGATGGGAGGAGGAGTCAAAGGGGGGACTGAGGGCGACTGGCCAGTGCAGGTTGACCATCTGGTGCAGTTGCACATTGTTGTGGGCTGTTGGGTTGCATATAAATAGTTATCTCCGGTTTATACTGTACTCTTTTATACCTGTACCCACTTAACTACCCTGTACCTATATGACCCTAGTGTGTTATACCCTGGTTACACTGTCTGTCTCCAGCTGTCTTTGCTGCTGTGCCGGCAATAAAGAGCAGTTTCC